GGTCGCTCTCGGCTCTATAAATCAGCGCCAGCCTGTCCGAGCTGTTCGCTGCCCAGCAAATGAGGGAAACAAGCAAAAGGCGTTGGCACCTGAAGTGACATTCTCGGCCCTTTCTCATGGTTTTGGAGGTCAAGCTGCTTGGAAATAGTGATTTTTATTCTATTTTAATTTTTTATGTGCATATGTTTGATCTTTTAAAACCCGTTGGTAGGCAGTGTTGCTCATTATGGCAAGCCCATGAAGCACACCCCACAAATGTAGCTTTAAATGTGTCTCATTTTCTTTTCTGAAAGGAGGAAAAGAGGATAATCAGAATTTCAGAGCTCTAACAGCATCTCATCCCCTCCACAAAACAGTGGGAGAGAAGGTAGCTAACAGTCCCCTCTTTTTAATGCTATTAACTCATTAGCTAAGGTGCAGCCCACACAGAGAGGTAGGCCTAAAGAATTTGAAGCAATGTCACTCCCAGTATTAGTTTGTTGTGGGTGTGAGTTGTAAACTGCTCAAGGAATGTGTGGAGTGATTTCTTCTGAAGAGCAGGGTATGTGTTATAGTTTGCAAGTCTGTAGAGTTTGCATTGTTTTGTTGACAAAAGCAAGTGAATACACTAGAAGTGCAGTTTATTGCTGCCAGCTCTAAGCTGACTTTGTCTGCCCACATTTCCCATTTCATGGCCTCATGTATTAGCAAATGTCCTGTTTATTAGCAATTTAAGCTGCTATGCCGAGCTGTGATCTAGAATGGTGGAGATCTCATCACAGGCTTCCCAGTTTCAGAGCGGTGAAGTTTGGTCACTTAACCAGGAGGACTGGGAAATTTTGGACCATCTCTGCTAGACCAACTAGAAAACAGCAACAACTTAATCAAAACCTTTGAACTGTGTTCGACATTAGTGCTTTTGTTTTGGATTTATTTATTTTTCTTTTTACTTGTGAAAAAATTATTAGGTGGTAGTTTGATACTACATATAACTTAGATTAATGTGATTAACATCACTTGCTTCCTGACATATAAACCCCAACACTTTTCTCCTTTTCCACAGAACAATATGCTGGACTTCGTGTTTGCTGTTGATGATTCTGTGACCTGGCACATGAGGAACTTGTTAAAGAACAGGGGTCATTATTCATTCCTAAAAGTTTTTGGACCAAAACAGATAAGTAGTATACAGAGCTATGGAGCTGGGATTTACTACAATACTTTAGTGCCATGTAATGGTAGGGTAAGTACAAGTAGTTTGAGTAAATGAAGTCAAATGTTTGTGTGTGAAGTTTTGAAATTATTAGTGTAAGCAGATTTCTGCAGAGGAAGCAAATGTGGTAGATTATAAGTGATCCTTAACTCATGGTACCTTCAGTATTTATGTCTCAAATTGTTTCACAAACAGCATATTAATTAAAAAGCAAGCAGAGCAGCTGCTCTTGCACTTTAAAAGTGCAAGCAATATTTGGAATTTACAAGTAAAGCCCTGCAGAAGCTGGATTTGTATTCCTTATTACTTGCTGGCTGCCAGTTTTGGTGGTTGTAACATGTATCAGGATTTTAGCAGTTGAGTATATGTCAGAATTCTTCATAGAAAATTGGAGAGGCAGGTAGTCTATTACATACTTTATATTTTGTGTAAAGGCATTTGTATGAGGCAAGAATTTGGGGTTTAAACCTTGTTCTCTTTATGTAAAAAGAGATGTTGGATTTTATGTTAAGGACCAATGATTTTTGCTCTCTAATTCTGTTCTTGTCTCTTTACACCCTGATGCTGTAATGTCTCAGTTATAGGACAGTCTGTGGTCCTTTAATATCCAGAAATTCTAGCATTGGCTGCCTTGCTGTGATGATAATCTTTGAAAACTCAGCAAGTGCAAATTGTTAAGAAATTGTTGAAAATTCATCTTTTAACTAGAAAATCACAATTTGCTTGCTAACATCAAAGGGCAAAAGAAGCAGCTCCCCGATACACACCCCCACGCCCCAGTAATGGGATGCATAAATGGCTGGGTCTGGCATTTTAGTTTATTTTAGATATCTGACAAACTATTTCTCAAATGTTTTTAATGTAATAAAGATACTGTGGATTCTTCCAAATATTGTAACGTTTGGCTGGTAAAAAAATTATTGTAACCTTTCAATAATCTTTTTATGAACAGTTGTATTTTAATCTTCAGATCTCTTCAGTGGCAATGTCTGTCTAGACTAGGTTTCTTTGGGTTTTAAAGTCTTTTGCTTTAGTGATTGGTCCTGGGGTGACTTTATTGTAGCTTTGATTCTAGAAAGGATCTTGGATAGTTCTGCGAATCTTCCCTTTTCTTTTTTTTTTTTTTCAGTAGTTTGCATGTAAATAGGAATTTCTTTTCCCTTCTGTGTTTATTAAAGCATTAAGATGTTTTCTTGTTATGCATCTAGTTTTTTATTGGAATTAATGACAGTTGTAGTAACTAAGTAATAAGTTTCATATAGTGAAAATGGTACAGGTATATGGTTTTTCAAAAGCCTTTGTTTTGCTTTTTTCCAGATGATAAAATATGGTGTAATTAGCACTGATACCCTGGTTGATGATTTACTTCACTGGAAGACCCTCTATGTCGCTGGACGCCTACAAAAACCGGTAACTGCTGGTCTGTTCAGTTATGTGTCTTGAAATGCAGGAAATTACAGGTCTGGAAAATTATCAGTTGTAGTTTTAACTGTTAAGGTTCTATCCATCAGTACTGAACAAATAATCTGCCCTGATTTAGAGGTGTAGTCCTAGAGGGGTAATGTCTCAGAAAAGAAGTGAAATGCAGTCCTTAAAGATATTCTGTGTTATGTGAAAAAAACCCTAAAGGTAGATTTATTAATCAGTTTTTTGCCTGTAGTAAATCTTGAATAACTGGACTATATTAACTCGAAGTCCCTCTAATGTTAAATTTATTATTTACTTTTAATAACAAACTATAGGAGTCACCAAAATTTAACACAGTTAAATAATGTGAATCTTTACAGCGGAAAGCTGCTTTGCTGTGCAGTTACTGTCTAGTTCATTTGTTGTTATTGGATCTATAATTGACTGAACCATGTGATAAGCATGTTTGTTTTTCTCTTCTGTGTTTGTGTCGTTAAAAAGAGGAGGTTGTTGCTATCCCATGAGTGCCTGATTCGGTGTGCTTTCAGCAGATGGCAGCAGTGATAAGTTAAAATTTCTTAAGAGGGGAAGGGGGAAGGAGAGGAGAACTCTTGTTCAAGTCTTGGAACACAAGTTAGTTATGCTTTTAACTAAAAACTTGAGGTGAAAGTTAGAATAGATTGTCTCAACGCTGCTGGCTTTTCTCTGTCTCCAGGGATGTGTTATAGATGATAGAGGTTAGAACAGCTGTTATCTTTATAAAGAATGAAACTTAATACATTGAAAAAAAAAAACTGAAGGAAGAACTCTGAATTTCACATTAACAATGAATACTGAATCTTTATTTTCAGTGTAACTGCATTTGCTGCTGCTTTTATTTATTTTAGGATATTTCTCCATGTTATATATAAATTGTGCTGTGTATCTTTTGGTTAAATTCAGTGGGAGTACATACTTCCACAAGAAGGCAGAATTTGATGTGTTGCTTGGTTGCTAACAGGACAGTGGAGATACCGTGTGTGTATTTGATAGATGAAAGAAGAAATCAGTCCAGACTATTTTCATAATGCTCACAGGAATTTCCATTGAGTAAAGGATTTAAACTAGAATTGGACCAGAAGATTACTTGGTGAATGTTTAAATTGTCTCTTCCTGTAGAACCTATAAAATCACTAATTAGGATTTTGAATATTACACTCTGTTGACCAAAAATGACCAAACAATTTGTTTACATCTGTTGTACAGATTGCAAATGTCTGCTGGTTCTGACTTCACAACCAGTTTGATATTTTGATGTATATGTAGTAAATGGTAGTGATAGAAAGCTTTTTTTACCTCAAAAACAGTAAGTCTCTTTTGGAAGGGACACATGGTTAGGCTTGTTTTCTTACATAGCATTTGCCTTTTGTGCTGGTTCTGGACTCAGTAGTCTGAAGCCAGATTAATATTGTTTAACAGTTTGTTTGGGAATTTCCTCCTCACTCTCATAGAGAGGAGGAAGAGCCCAGCGCCTTTCTGGTGTTCCATTACAAAGCTGACACTCCATGAGTGAAAGCTATCCAAGCTGTTCTAGCACATAAGCTAAAACATTTGCTCTGGCTTGAAAATCTTGGCTTAATTTTCACTGGAGGTTTTGTTTCTGTTATGAACTGGTTGCCTTGACCAAGTGATCTTCCCAGAATGTTTGGTAGAATAGATGGAGTTTGGAATTGCCACTTAGAAATACTAACTTTTCTTCCCCAGGCTTCTTTGTTAAAAGTTTATTGGCTTTTCATCCCATGTGAAATTTATAACACTGAATTCACATTGAACTGTATTGAAAAATTGAATAAACTTAGTTGTAATTGTCATTTCTCCGTAACTAACAGGTTTCCCGGAGGGGGGGGAGAGAAAAAAAAGCTACTGTACCTAAAAAGTAAAATAAATAAGTACAAGTGACACATAATTGGTTTTCAGAGGAAGAAGATTTTAAAAAGCATCTGGAATGTGGAATGTTACTGAATTTTTTGTTAAACGTAGACTGTATGCTTTAGTGTAAGCAGCTGCATTTACTGTTGTCCTGGAGAGACTATAAAGAGAAGGAAGTGTTTAATAAATTGAAGTGAGGTGAGAGAAAGAGAGGAGTATGAATAGTGTATAGAAATACCTTTTACTTTTTAGAGGGGTCTTGGGAGGTTTAGGGTTTTTTATATTTCAAAAATTCCCATGAAGGAGAGACACAGCACATATTTGTTTATAGAATTTTTCCATTGTCCAAATCTGTAAAAACATTTTTTGCTAGAAGTGGAAAAATCCTTTTCCCATGATATTTAGCAGAGTACACAAAATGCAATAGTGCTTTTGACACCTTTCATTCAATAAAGAAATTTTCTTTGTGTATTTTGTTTGTCTTCAAGTATCTTTGTGTACACATGCCTGCAGTTTCTTGTCTATGACTTTCCTAGCAGTGAAGGTAGTACATTTCCTACTTTAAATTGTTATAATGACTGAGGGTCATGCTTATTTATAAAATTGTATATATTCTTTTTTTAAAAATACTTAATAATTTTAAAGTCTCAGTTGTTCTGTTAGTTAACTGAATTCTCTGCATACTGTAAAACCAGAATAAATTGGCTTCTTCTTTCCCCCTTATCTGATATGGTACAGTGACTAGTTCTGATCATAAGTTGTCTGTACTGTGAAAAAGCTTTCCTTAACTTCAGTCTGCTTTCAGATTTACCCCAAGAATCAACATTCATCCTTGTCTGACCTGGGTGGTTAACTGTCTTCCTGGGAAATTTCTAGCCACCTAAACTGTTTAAAATTTCTTCATGAATGATGTCACTACTGCAGTGTTTCATGCATTTAAATTTTGATGCCTAGCATATTATTTCCCCTTGAAAAAAAAAAAAAAATCTCCTTTCTGTTAGGGAGTATTTTTAGTAAAGGAGGAGATTATTCCTTTTACTTCACTAAAGCAAGTCCTTGGTCTTCTATGAGGAGTAGCCTCTCTGCTGAGTTTCACGTTTTAAAAGGCTGTAACTATGGTGGTCTTAAAACTTGTCCATAACTTGCTGTTATTTTCAGTTTGTGTGACTGCTTGGGGTGCCACAGACCTCTCCCTTCTGTCTTTCCTTAGAGTTTCCCTGTAGCAGCAAGTTACAAAAGTACATTTAAGTGAATTAGCTGATGAGATTTTACATATTAGTTTATCCTCATGACCAGCCTATCTTGTTTATTGGGTCTTATTTGAGCAAGTCTGTCTGCATTCCATAAACTTCTCCCATGATTTTCAAGGAAATGAATTTCACTCTGGGCTCCCTGGCAGATGGTTGTATTGTATTTTAGTGTGTTTTATCATTGTCTTCCTTTTAATGCTAAAAGTACAAAGTAATTTGCAGGAGAATTTAGGAGGAATTCTGAAATGTTTACCTGTACAAAGAACTCTTTATTTTTGAAATAAAAATCAAAGAAGGGAAAATATCCTTCAAAGATCCACCCTGGACCAATTACAGACCATCTTACAGATTTGATGTTGGGCAAATCATGCTTTAGTGTGGAATGATTGAAACAAGCAGCCTCTATACTGTTTCATTCACCACCATATCAAAGTGAGATATTGTTCTGGTTTTATCCCTCTTAAAGATTTCACCATAATCAAGACTTATGTTCTGAATACAGTATTGGCCAGCCATGACATTGCTTTCTCAATGTCCTCTCTGTAAGAATTTTGCATAGCGGATATGTCTGATTCTCCTACTTTATTTACTGAATCTATGTTTGGTTTAATTTTTTTTTCTTAATTAACAGAGTATTTACATTCCTAAAGGAAGATATTTACTTCAACATAGACCTTAGCTACTTCAGGTTATATTTTGGGGCAGAATTTCAAGTAATACTGCACTCATTTGTGTATGGATGGGCTTTTGGAGGGTAAAAGCAAGTTGGATCCATTTGTTCATAAGTGCCAGTGGGTTTGCACTTTAAGGTATTCTAGAGTAAACAAATATGGAGAAGGTACCTTTTATGAGCAGGGCAGTGTTGCTTAATCAGAACACTTGGAAAAGACAGAAACTCACAACTGGCAGGTGTTCTTGGGAGAGTTGTTTCTGAAAGAGCATAGCTGGCCATCTTGTAAACCAGGCTGACTTCATTGTCTCGTGTCTATAGTATGTTTCTGTATTCAGTTCTTACTGAAGATCTGCTTTTTATTCCAGTGTATTTCCATATCCTATGTGACTGGATTCTCTAGTTGGTCTTGAACAGTTTAAATGTTTCCTAAAAATAAACTTTTGTTTGTGACACATAGAAGCACTCAATTTGGTGATCTGTTCTTCATCTATATGTGAAGTTGCCGTTGAGTTCGCATTCTGCTCATATAAAGTACAAAATAAAGCCCTGCTTCTTCTAGGAGCACAACTAATGTCTAAGGAACTACTTGAAGCATGTGATAGAGGAGTCCTCTGTTTAAAAAAAAAATAAAATAAAGATGAATAGGAAAACTTACCTCTTTTTGTGGTATTCCGTTGTCTTTCAGTGTGACAATTTTTTTCTCGTTGCATAATCACATTTGAAGTATTTTTGTTAATGCATTCACATTTACTGTTTTGATTAGTCCTAAATTCATGAATATTCATATTAGATTGAGTAACATTTCTAGCTCCATCTTCAGTAGTGCTTTCCTGAATTCTTGCTTCCAATGATTCTGCTTTTTCAGGTCAAAATACTGACACAGAATGAGAACAGCAAGCTGCAAGCTGCTCTCGTTAGCAACCTGAAGAGTGCAGTCACTGCAGCCTTCCTCATGCTACCAGAAAGTTTCTCTGAAGAAGATCTCTACACGCAGATTGCAGGACTCTCCTATTCTGGTGAGTATATGGTGTCTGCAGTCTTTGAGGAGAAAAGCTGTAGTTGGAGCTGTTGTACCACAGGAGGAAGTTTAATGTGGAATAAGTCATCTGCTATCTTGCTTTGGGCCTACACTGTTGCGTGCTCCAATAACTATATTTAATCCTGTGTTACTTAACAGCTTGGAAAGGCTAATTGTGCTTATTCATAGAAAATAGGTATAGGTACCTAAGCAAAACTTGTTATATCTGCTTCATTATGAACAGCTAAATATGGGCGATTGAATATGGTGAGATAATGGGGATTTTTTTCTGTTTGTATGGGTTGTATTTTAGTTTTAATTGTTCAAAACTTTGAAAGAAAATGTTCTTTTTACTCTCAGTGTAATGTTGATTCATCTGATCGTCTGACCCTGCTTTGTTATCTCTTACTTTTTAAATGTGCTGTGTTTAAAGTTCTTACTTAGTTAACGTAAAGATCCAGGTTATGATTCTTCAGTGTGCATTTAACACTCACCTCCTGGTTGGTATTTGTTGACTTTTTTTTGCCAAGAGAATTTCCTCCTTTCTTTAGTAAAGAAATTGGTATGAATGGAAAAAAAAATTAAGAAATCACTCCAAATGACTCTTCAATATAAGATTTAATTGTTAAAGTTGAATTCAGCATTGCTCTTTAAATGTTGATATCCTTAATGAAATCATTACGAACAAGTTTTGTTGGAGTTGTACTTTACACAGCACTTCCTTGCTTGTATAGAAATGCAAGTTTGGCTTTTTTTAAAAAAGGACAGGTAAGCAGGTAGGGTTTATAAGCTGCAGCTTGGCTATACTGAGGAGTGTTACTATTGTTTACGTTGTACTTCTCTGGTCAGCTTAGATTGCAATTAGTTCAGCTTTTCCTTAGCAGTTTTTTCTGAGTCTTTATCTCTTGGAAAGTGACGGTAAAGAGGATGCTGGTAGTGGGGTGGATGAGGGTTGCTTACCAGGGATGTTTGCTACAGGGCTGCATACCTGCCCACGTGAAGCCTGTCCAGGAATGTCATTAGATTCTTGGTGAACACTAGTGACCAAGATACTATTTTATATATCCTTTGAAATGGTGCAATTAACCAAAAATGTGGGAGATCAGTTGCCATGCTGTAAAATGTTGAAATTGACTCTGCTGTGTTGAAGCAGTAAGACTCCCAGTTGGGAATGTTCAAGAAAAAGGCTGGTAATGACATGTTTGTGGATATTTTATTTTGCTACCATTTTGTTAAATCTTAAACTTTTCAGAGGGTATACTAGTAGACAAAATTGATTTTATGTGTTACTCTAATCAGTCTCCTTGGAGACTGCTGAAAAGAGTTGTTCATGCTTTAATTTGGAAAATGTTTATCCTGGGTTTTTTTAAATGCATTTTTTGAGAGCAGTGAGTCAGTACCATTTATATGGGAAGTGTTTGTTTTGTGGCTTGGCATAAATTGAAATAAACTAAGTAATGCTAGCAAGTTACCACCTTGCAACAACATTTGTCTCCTGAATGTGGGAAGTGGGAGAATGAATTGATTCAGGATTTTGTTTGTTGATATGTGCTGCACTGAGCCTCTAACTCCTGGTTGGTAAGTGTGGAAGCTACCAGGGAAGTACCTAATAGAGGCAGATGAACAGAGGTAGTTTCTGTTACAGACTGACTGTCTTTTCACTTATTTTCTGTGGAACTTTTCAGTCGTATATCAAAAAAGTTTAAAGGTCAGTAATGTTAACAGTGGTGTTAAAAAGAGTTGCTTTTTGAAACTACTAACAAAATATGTGGCTAAGAGGAAAAAGTGGTGCTGGGATCTTACCATGGCTGCCATTAGCTGAACTTTAGGTACTGCCCTTTAAATACAGAGACAGTCTGAATTATTTTCTTTCAGTATTGGAAAATTGGAGGTTATTTTGTTTATGGACGTAAAGAATTGAGGCCGGTCAATCTGTTTAGTAATCTGTTGAAACCAGTGTGTGGTTGCAAAGAATATAACTGTGTTAACTGTCACTTTTGAGGCTGAACTTGACAGCTGGAATTTTTTTGTTGCCCAAGTGAAAATGTAGACACGTGGGTTGATTATATTACAGCATATTGGAGGCCATGTACCAATTCTGAATCTTCTTTTCTGTATTTGAAAGTATTTGAATAGTATTTTTTGACTATTAGAAGGTGAACCTTCCTGTGAATTATATAGGCACTGGTAGAATTGGAGAATCAAGTTTTAGATGACAACTTTGTACTATGTCAGTTTCTGTTATATTCTCCTCCTTTGAGTTTTCAGGTTTTTTTCCTAATGAGTTAAATGTTTTTCTTTTCCTGACTAGGTGATTTCAGAATGGTAATAGGAGAAGACAGATCGAAAGTGCAGAACATAGTGAAACCGAATGTTCCCCATTTTCAGAAGCTGTACAGTAACATACTGCAGGACTGCCCTCAAGTGGTATATAAGCACCATCTGGGAAGGCTAGAGGCAAGTGGCGTTCTTCAAAACATTTTTAAAACAAGCAAGTGGAAGTGCTTTATCACACTGACAGAAGGCAAGAATTCTGCCGTACACTAAGGCGAGCAGTTGTAGTCACTGTCCTTGCTGTTTGTCCTGGTTTTGTTGTTTAGTTAATTCTACAACCAGACAACTCATCTTTAAATACGAGCCTCTGCATATGTAGTAACTACTGTTAATTTTGAGTATGGGTGCAGAACTAGAGCCCTAGTAAGGGAACAAGAGAAGATAATTTTGAAATGTGTGTTCTAATGACTACCATATGGAAGCAACATTCTAGGAAGTGATGAATAAACATATGGTTTGTGTTAAAAAGATTAGGCTGTAACTTAGAGTTGCAACTTTGTGCGATTAAAAACTGCATCTCACAAAAAAACCCCTAGAGTGCTAGTTACGATGATCAGTTGACTAAACCCAAATGAAATTCTGGTATTATCTTTAAATACTCACATTAAAATAATTTTTTTCTAGGACTTGGGAAACAGGTACCAATTTTTTTCTAGTACCTGGGAAACAGGTATCCAAAATGATCAGTGTCTTGAATTCCATCTTTCTGGCATAAGATATAAGTATTACATTGAAATTAAGCGGGGAAGTGCCACTGTCAGGAGTCCAATAACATGTTTTCCTCTTGGAGTATGCATATCTGTGTGTGAATATTCAAGTGTGATATGCATTTCAACATGAAGTTGCAAATAGCATGAGTTGTCTCACGGACATGGGCACGTCCTCATCCTCAAGTCACCTTGGTAATTATCTCACAAATGCCTCCTTTTAGAATGTGTCTTTGTTAGAAACTGAAGTACAGATAGAAGCAAGCTTGAGTACAGTGAACAATTCTACTGCATTGCTCTGGAGTACAGCGTAGGCAAATCTGTATTATACTGCAGCTGTCTCCATGTTTTCTTATCAATGTGCTTTTGAACAGTTTAGTGGAAGAAATATTTAAATTAATTTTGAAAAGAATCAGCAATGCTTTTTCCAATAAAATGGCTAATTGTAACACAACAGGGGGTATTATTGTCTTTAACCAAATCCTGGTAGTATACTACGAATACATTGTTGGATAATAAATCTGTCTGTAATTCCATAATAGTCATTGAGGCTGTTAATTAAATGCCATCATTTTAGTCTTGTTTTTGAGCAAAGTGCTTTAATACTTTATTCCTTACACCTTGGTCTGGTTATTGGCAGATTTTCCCCAGACTGAAGAGGATAACTGCTATCAGGAGTGCTGTTTAACGCAGAACAGAAACCCCTTTTCCAAGTATACGTCTTCAGAGTAATAGAGAAAATTATTTCTTAAAAGATTCCTCAAAAACAATTGAAGGCAGACACTAGTTCTTACAGTTCTGGTTCAGGCGTGGATTCCTCCCACATAATGTTAAGAGCCTGCTCATTGTCGGCTCCCTCTGTAGTCAGTGGGTGATTCATCTGGATATCATTTTCTCCCCATTGACTAAAGGGAGTGTATAGGACAACTAGACTCCTGTCTGATGTCTCCATGAACTGTCTAAAAAGTTGTGTGGGAGGAATCAAGCTCTTCATATTTTCCTCCAGTTTTGGAGAGATCTGCTCTCTTATGCATTTTTCAGTATTTGTGCTTACACTTTGTATAAATATGTACAGGCCTGCATGTCGGTATCATTGTGTTCAAAAAAGGGTCATTGAATTTCTGATTTAGATTGGAAAATGTGGAATGAATGTTTCCTTCAAATTATACAAACCAGATGTGGTTTGAGTTTAAAACATAGAAAATGTTTTTCAAACATTGACTTGAAATGTGTGTGTGTGTGTAGTTTACTTGTGTTCAAGCAGAAGAAACTTGAGCTAAGTGGTCTTTTGGGAACTTTTTTTTATCCCTGTAGTGTGCTTATGTTTCCAAAGGAGATATCCAGAGTAGAAATGATACAGTTTCAATTAAAAGTTGCTTGCAAAGGCAGCAAGATCGTGTGTGTACATTAGTCTTCCCTTGGATAAAAGTAACATCTTTCTGCTGAGTTATTCTTCAGGTTGAGAACTGAGATACTGCATTTCCCAGTGCTTGGGAAGTTTTCATTAGCATTTTTTCCTGACTTTTACAAGTGAAATAGATCATGTTCTTTGAGATATTTATCAATAAATAGATATCAGAATAGGTCAAAATAGGTAAAAGATAGCCAAAAGCCTTTTCTGACTTCTTTGAAAAGAGAACTTACTTTATTAACAATGAAAGTTTTCGCTGTCTTATTTTTTATAACATTCAGATTGATAAAAGTCCAGAAGGTCAATTTGCACAACTAATGGCTTTGCCAAGAACTCTGCAACAAAAGATAACTTCTCTGGTAGACCCTCCTGGAAAAAACAGAGATGTGGAAGAAATTTTACTGCAAGTTGCCCATGACCCTGACTGCGGATTTGTGGTGCATCAAGGTAGGCCTAGATCAGTGTCTGTCATCTCCTTTAAGACACAATAGATATACAGACTTATGATTTAGAGAGAAGGAAGATGAAAAAAGAGGTTAGTATTGAGATATGTTCCTAAAAGCATGGTTTTGGATTTGTTTGGTTGCAAGCAGGTTCTCTGAAATACCAGCAAATAGCATTCCTACTGATATAGAAACATATGTTTTGTTTTGGATTCTGAAAGAAGCAGTCTGTAGGAATTAGTGTGGCCTTCTTAGACCCTCTAACTCTATTTGGGATGCTTACACCTTCAGGATTACATTGGCTGGCATACCTTCATCTGAATGCTAAGCTATATATCCTACCAGTCATTCATTGTAATGCTAAGTTAATTTTCTAGCTCGAGGACAATGCCTTTCCCAGTTTTCATAGTTAGTCCAGATACACGAGCTCTGGTGGAGAACTCGGGCTTTGAGGAAAAAGATTGAGATGTTTCTCATTGTCACAGCTTCTCTGAGGCAAGGTAATGTTGTATGAGCAAGTTAAAGCTTATGCTGCAGACATCAGTATTTTATTATTCTGCAGAAAACTGAAAACATTTGGTATTGAAGTGTCCTTTAGATCATTAGAGAACTTGACACATCTTAGTTCCAGGTGGCCAATTTTGCAAGCTCACTGAGCACAACAAAAACTCCCTAGATATCCGAGAGCCACAAGACACTAGCCAGCTGCTGAGGGAGCTCTGACACTGATTGCTGTTCGGGGAAATAAAGCTCCTGAGAGTTGCAGTTGACAGTATGGGATGAATCACACCTGGACATGAAGGTGTCCAGCTTCTTTCATGTCAGTCTATGGCAGCTTCTATTCTACTATGGCTGGACTGCAGCAGTAATGTGGTGATGGCTGAGCCAGGGAGCAGGAGTTGCAGTGGTTGTGAGCTGCATGTCGTTTCAGAGCTCCGAGTTGTCCCCCCTGAGCTCGCTATCCTTGTGGTTGTGTTTGTGTAGGGGATGGCTGGGCTCTGCGCAGTGGTGCAGCAGTTCAGTAGCAAAACATTGGATAGATCCAGTCTTCTCAAGCCAAGCAGTTTGTACTCTTAGGAGAACAAACCAAAACCCCTCTTCCACTTTTGTGGCCAAAAGATTTTCCTAATTCAAGAATCTGGGTAAAGGACAGGACAAGCCATTTGGTAATCCTGCAAGACGAAGCTGATTACTCAAGCTGAATTGTGCTGTCCTTAGGTATTTTACTAGCTCAACATGATTTGTTCCATTTCCCTCACCACCCCTACCCCCCAGGTTATTATTTTCTGTTGGAATATTGTATCCCTCATACATACTCATGGATTTCCCTAAGCTTTGTTATTCATTATAGCAGTAGCTCCGAAAGAAGGATTTAAAAATAATACTTAAAATTATATTCTACATTCTGGTTAATGCAGAAGAGTAACTTTCAGTTTGGAAGACTAACTCTGGGACTGCTGCATTTCTACATTTTTCAGTATTTAGTAAGGTACAGTAGTTTTGTTCTGCACATTATTAGTATGCTTTTATATATGTGTGTTGGAACAGATAAAACTTAGTACTTTTCAAAAAAAGTTTTAATGTTTTATTTACTATTCTGTTAATATGTAAGAACCACTGGAAAATGAAAACTGAATGTGTCACAGTGCAAAGTGGTAAACAAGCCTTATCCAAAAGCTGATAATTTAAAAAAGCCTGACACACACTGCACAATACAGGCATCTTCACTTGATCAGAGAAGTGCAAAAATCCCAATTTCATATTGAAGGAAACAATGAGTATAGCTTGTTCTGCTCTGGAAAGTTCATATGCCAGCACTTAAATTAAACAACTCTGAATCCTTTAAGACTAATCATCTTAATAGAGAAATAATGGGAAAACTAAATGAATGAGCTTGATCAATACCTATCTGTTTTAATATTGATTTTTTTTTTGTATGTTGTGTATAAAATAAGTTAAAATAGCTTAGAGAATATTTTAAATTAGTATGGCAAAACAAAACAGAAACAAACTTTCTCAGCTTAAGTTGTATGTTTTACTTTCAGGCTGGCTTGATTGTGTAACTGGAAAATTATTTAACTTTTTTGTGTATGTTGGAGGATAAAAAAAAAATCCCCACAAAACTGTGAAGATGGGTAACATCTGTGTGCTTTTCTGTCTGCAGGCATTTCAGGAATTGTGAGATCTTCCAGCATAGTGCAGAGTGCTAAAACCGTACTAACAGCTGGTAAGAATGTGTGTGATTTCTATCAGCATAGGACTTCTGATTTCACAAAGTAAAAATTACAGAGCTCTTGTTACAAGAGTTTAAATAATAAAAGTTTTGGGTGTCTAATTGAAAGCCCCTGGAAAATAAAAGTAATGCTTAAAGCAAAAGCTTTATACAACTACTGAGAAACTGTAAAATGCCAAAAGGAATTGGAGTCTGTATGACTCTTAAACAAAAACACACTTCCCAACAACCCAAAAGTAACAAAAAACCAACTTCTAACTTCAATTTTATTTTATATGTGGGTGAAATTTGGCTGATGTGCACTAGTTCTACTCTTTTTGTATTAAAAAATGGAAAAAAATACTTTATAATTCACTCTGGCTTTCTGCATGTGAGTGGATCCCTAAATGATCAGTACTTAGTGTTGGTGTGTTATGTATGCTATAAGGTTCATCCTTTTTTTCTGAGTTCTGGAATAAATCTAATTTTAAAGTGACCTGATTTTTACCTTTTAAAAAACTGAAAGCACTGCAACTTGAGGAAGACTTAAGACCTGAGTCTTCGTTTACTTAGAACTCTGATCAGGAGATGGTCTTAATTTCTGCAAAGTGGAAAATCCCTGCTGCTTGCATGAAGTTGCTCAAATAATTTTCTGAACTCATTCATACCTTTTTCTAATTCTTCCATGAAAGCAATTATATACAAATGATGCCATTACTGGTTTTAAAAGCAGCTGTATAATTTCCTACTGAGCAATCCTTATCCAGACTTCTACAGCTGCTGTTCCCTTCCCATTTAGTATTAAATTTGGTGGCTCCATGTTAAACTCCTTGTAAAGAAACACAGGTTGCAGTGTTCAGGACCATTAGTGGTCTGCTGAGTAAAATAAGCAGGAGCAGTTGTACTTTTCATATGCTTCTGTTAATAATCTAGTTCTGTTAACGGGAAGAAGTCTGACAAAACTATTGCCTAATGCCTTTGTCTATGATCTGGAGGAGACTGAGGATGTAGCTCCAGCTGAGAAAAGCAAATTTTTGGTTTATATGAGTGGCAGTGGGTGTCGTATACTTGGACTTGAGCAAGGCTTTTGATACTGTCTCCCATGACATCCTCATTGGCACACTCAAGAAGTGTGGACTTGATGACTGGACGGTCAGGTGGATTGAGAACTGGCTGAATGACAGGGCTCAGAGGGTTGTCGTTGGTGGTGTGGAATCAAGCTGGAGGCCTGTATCTAGTGGTGTCCCCGGGGGTCAATACTGGCTCTAGTGTTGTTCAACCTATTCATCAGTGACTTAGATGAAGGAAGAGTGCCTCCTCAGCAAATTTGCTGATGATAATAAACTGGAAGGAGTGTTGGATACTCCAGATGGCTGTGCTGCCATTCAGAGGGACCTCAACAGGCTGGAGAGATGGGCAGAGAGGAACCTCATGAGGTTCAAAAGGGAAAGTGCAGGGTCCTGCATATGGGAAGGAATAACCCCAAGCACCAGGACAGGATGGGGGCTGACCTCCTGGAAAACAGCCCTGTGGAGAAGGGACCTGGGAGTGTTGGTGGACAACAGGTTAAATATGAGCCAGCAGTGTGGTCTTGTGGCCAGGAAGGCCAGCAATATCCTGGGCTGTATTGGGAAGAGTGGCCAGCAGGTCAAGAGAGATTCTCCTCCCCTTCTACTCAGCCCTGGTGAGGCCCCACCTGGAGTATTGTGTCCAGTTCTGGGCTCCCCAGTACAGGAAGGACATGAAACTCCTGGAGCGTGTCCAGCAAAGGGCGACTAAGATGATTAAAGAACTGGAGCATCTTCCGTCTGAGGAAAGGCTGAGGGAGCTGGGCCTGTTCAGCCTGGAGAAAAGACGACTCAGAGGGGATCTGATTAATGTTTATAAATATCTAAAGGGACAGTGTCTAGAGGATGGGGCCAGGCTCTTCTCATTGGCACACAACAATAGGATGAGAGGTAATGGGCATAAAACGCAGCACAGGGAGTTCCACCTGAACATAAGGAAGAACTTTCCTGTGAGGGTGACTGAGCACTGGGACAGGCTGCCCAGGGAGGTTGTGGAATCTCCCTCCCTGGAGATATTCAGAAACTGTCTGGACAAAATCCTGGTTCATGTGCTCTAGGAGTCCCTGCTTGAGCAGGGTGGTTGGCCTAGCTGACCTTCAGAGGTCCCTTCCAACCTCAGCCATTCTGTGATTCTGAGTTTGGCATATTGTAGGTGTTAGTTTCTAATGTGGGATTTCCCACCAAGTCGGTGATGTTTTTCTTCTAGCAGTTGTTGTCAAAATCACCTGCTAGTGGTCAAGACTTGTTCTATTTTAACATGCCTCTTAGAAATACCAGCTTGTAACCTATCTATCTGTTCTGAAATCCATGGAGAGTAGATTTTGTAGAGCAGTGTAATTGGAGGGGAGGGGTCAAAGACGTTGTTACCACGTTGCATTTAGTTCTTGTGAAAGTTAGCAGCCAGCCTGACCGGTGGAGCAGAGCTGTTTGTGTAGCTGCAAGAGCATGAATAAAAATAGTTAAGCATGGTCAGATTATTTATGCTCCCCTTCTGTGTGTTCTGATAGAACATCACCTCTGGGATTTGCTAGCTCCTTTTGTGTGCTGAGCAGTAAATCACTTACAGCCTACTTTGTTATGAGGACTTTGTTATGAGGAACAGCCATGGTGGCTATCAGGTCAAAAGCTGCGGGAAAAAAGAAATGTAGCAACCCAAACAGAGGTT